TCACTTGATTTTGTCTTACTACATTAGCTCTAACCTCCCAAACAAGACTGAAGTTTAGTGGGAGATACCCTGCACCTTGCCCTGTGTCTAACTGTGCTGGAATGCATTTAGGATTTTATAATACTGTCAAATAATGTTTTATAATGGTTTCCAATATCATCTTAAAAAATCATTTTAGGAAGTTTTTTATTTTATCTGAAGTATTCAATCAGACATTTTATTTTATTTTAGCTTATTTAAAGACTGTCCAGTAAGACAACTTTAATCATAAAATTTTCTTCTTGATTAGATCAAGTTTTTTTAGGATCTGATGATATGATCATTCTTTACTCAAATTATTTATTAACATAATTAATTATTTTGTTAGAGTCCCTAAAGTTCAACCATTCCAGAAAGTGTAGAATAAAATTTTGTGTAGTGGGTGTAGTGGATGATATCAGAATTAAAATGAAAACTTAAGCGAGAAGCTTAGAGAAAAATATTTGCAACACAATACATACAAACTTCATACCATATATGTCACATATATTACATATATATACAATATTTAATATAATGTTATCTTTACCTGATAAAAATGAGAATGAAAGAGAGTTGCATGGGAGTCAAGAGGATTCAGACCAGGGCCAAACTTTGACTGTCAGGCAGAAGGGAGAAGGCAGAAAGAGGGTCATCAACCCAGGAACAAGTTCAGAGAATTGGGGCAGGCTGCAACAAGGCCCGTTAAGAGTCAGAGAGTTTCTTTTATTTGTACTTTTTTGCTTTTATTATTAGTTTGTTACACAAATAATGCATATTGCTCATAAAAACATTAGAAAATACAGATAAGAAAAGAGGAAATGAAATCATTCTAATTTGGAAATCTAGAGATAGCTACTGTCAATATTTTGGGGCAAAGGAGAGAATGAAACCTCTGTGACCACAGAGGGAGCCCCGTTGCTCATCATGACAAAGCAGAGTAGACTCCATTGCTCATCCTCATCACTGGGTGCTATTTTCAAGGCAAAAATCTACTTACAAAGAGGCTTCACTTTCCAATTTTAAGTTTCATAGCTCAGCACAGTGCAAAGCTCTTACTCTTTTTGACTGTGAGCATCTGAGCTCCCTTCCTGTGCTTGGACAATTATAGATGCCGTTTCGGTGACTGGCTCTGATGCCCTTCCTCGGCTAGTGCCCCAGATCCTGTGAGCATTGGCTGCTGAGAATTCACTGAGGCCCCCACTTTCCAGAGCTTCTCCTGCCTGAAACTTGTATTGGTTCTAGAGCAACCACAACAAAGTACAAGGGGCTGGGTGGCTTACACCACAGAAATTTATTTCCTGACAGTTCTGGAAGCTGGAAGTCCAAGATCAAGGTGTTGGCAGGGTTGATTTCTTCTCAGGCCCCTCTTCTTGGTGTGTTATCGGCCCTCTTCTCCTTTGTTCTTACACGTTTTTCTCTGTGTGTGTGACTGTGTTCAAATCTCTTCTTCTTATAGGGATGCCAGTCATATTGGATTAGAGCCCAGGCACATGACTTAATTTGACCTTAATTACCTCTTTAAAGGCCCTGTTTCCAAATATATTCACATTCTGAGGTACTGGGGGTTAGGATTTTCATATCTGAATTAGGAGGGAACACAATTCAGCCCCTAACAGGCCAGAAACCTTAAAAAAAGAAAAGAAAAGAAAGAAAAGAAAAAGAAAAAAAGAAAAGCTTTTTCTAAAGCCAAATGGAATGTGGTCATTAACAATCTCTGAGTATTTGACACACTCACCTCTGTCTCCCACCGCCAAGGCAGTTTCCTGATCCCTAAACCTCAAGAAGTGTTCTATTAAAACTCTACCCATTTTCCCCCAGAAGGGGGCATTCTTTCCAGTGTCCACCTAAGCTATAGCCCTGGAGGAATGTGATGTGGACAAGAAAGCCACTCCCAGGGAGCAGAAAGGTGGTCAGGAAGGCAGAGGACAGGAGAAACCCTCATAGGTGATAAGAACCAGCTTGTCCCAGAGCCTGCGCCACCACCAGGGTAGGGCTGTTCTTGCCCATCAGGGGATGGTGACACATGCCATTAACAAGTGAACGCCTGTGCCACTCATCCCTATCCTTTATGTGAGTTGAAGGTGAATAAAAAGTAGAGACTCTGCCCGGGCTGGTGTGGCCTAGTTGGTTAAGCATCATCCCATGCACCAAGAGGTCGCCTGTTTAATTCTCAGGTAGGGCGCATGCCTAGGTCGTGGGCCCAATCCCCAGTAGGGGGTGTACAGGAGGCAAACCGATCAATGTTTCTCTCTTACATGGATGTTTCTCTTTCTCTCTCGCCCCCCTTCCTCCTTCCATAAAAAATCAATAAAAACATTTTTTTAAAAAGTAGAAACCCTAGCCCGGCCGGGCGTGGCTCAGCAGTTGAGTGTCGACCTAGGATCCAGGGAATTGGGGTTCGATTCTCGGTCAGGGCATGTGCCCGGTTGTGGGCTAGACAGCCGATCAATGACTTTCTCATCATTGATGTTTCTATTTCTCTCTCTCCCTCTCCTTTCCTCTCTCTGAAATCAATAAAGATATATTGGAAAAAAAAAAAAAGAAAATAATTTATTAAAAAGAAAAAAGTAGAAACCCTAGACTGGACCAGCAGAGTCCCTTGGTCTCAGTCTCCCAGGGTTTTTCAGCAGTTGCTTATAAAACTGAAGGTAATATCAAAGCCTTGGTGGTTCCATGTGGGTAGTAGGATGAATATGACCCCAAAAGATGCCAATGTCCTGATCTCTAGCACCTGTGAACATGTTCCTTCATACGGTAAAAGGAACTTCACAGATGTGATTAAGGATTTTAAGATGGGGCGATTATCCTGGATCATCTGGGTGGGTCCAGTGTAATCACCGGATCTTTATGAGAGAGAGAGGAGAGGGTCAGAGTCAGAGAATACATGACAATGGAAGCAGAGGTCAAAGAGGAGAGAGGATGTTATCCTGCTGACTTTGGAGATGGAGGAGGGGGCCACAAGTCAGGGAATGCAGGTGGCCTCTGGAAGGCAAGGAGCAGATTCTTCTTTCAGAGCCTCTAAAGGAATACAGCCAACACCTTGATTTTTAGCCCAGTGAGACTGATTTTGGGCTTCTGACCTTCAAACTGTGAAATAGTCAATCTGTGTTGTTTTAAGTCACTGAGTTTTCGGTAATTTGTTACAGGAGCAGTGAGAAACCAATGCAGCATGTAACAGGTATAAGGTTTGTGTAACAGTGCTTTAGTTCAAGAAACATCACATTATTTAATTTCTAATATGTATATCATATTAGAAATATAAAATATCATCTTATATTTGAATCTAGAACTAAACTGGCAAGAATTGGGACGATGGGGAAGTCTGTAATATTAGTCATTATTGGTCGCTCCCCTGTCCCAGCATTGCATAAGTATCCTTGAGGACTTAACTGATCCAGAAAATTCACAAAGGATCTCCTGGCTAAAGCCATAGTCCAAGCTAACAGTTTAGGAGTCAGCAAAATTTTTCAGTAAAGATCCAGATGGAAAATATTCTAGACTTTGTTGCTCTGTCATTACTACTGTCTGCCCTCCTGGTGTGAAAGCTATCAAGGACAACACTTAAGCAAATGGACAAGACTAGGTACCAATAAAACTTTATTTTAAAAAGCAGTCTGCAGGCTGAATTTAGCCACTGGCCACACTTTGCTGACTCTCCATCTAAAGGTAGGCAAGCCTGCTGTTGACAGCCTCCTCTCTCGTGACAAATTTGGTGATTTGGATGTTTTGTGCAGCCTCAAAGGTCACAGCTCTCAGGGGTAAGTCTTAAAGCCACCACAGAAGCTACCTCTATGGGTGTCTACCCAATGGCATTCTACCTGGAGTCCAGATCTCCCCAGCAGAACTCCCCATCACTACCCCTCCCCCAGCTCCGGTGACCCCTGCTTTCCCCAGGCTGGTCCACTCTCCTCTTCCTACCCCTCTCTACACCTCTTCTGCAAGAATTCGACTTTCTCTCCAAGAGCCCCCTTTTCCATTTGAGAAGAGAAAAGAAAAGGAAATAAGCTTCTTTTCCTCTCGTAAACACAGGAAAATAATGTTCTCACTCAGGTTATCTTGCACTTTGATATTGTTTACAGTCTGTGGGATCTATGATTAGACTTACATTTATTGCTCAGTAAAATGTAGGTAGTTTTCATCCTATATGAATGCTCAGTCATTTTCAGTCAATTTCTTTCATTGCCTTAAAAAGTCACACAAGTCACACGGTAAAGAACCCTACAGATAGCGCTGCAGATAAACAAACACCTGGACGGTGTGCCGCGTAATTGAAAACTGGAGTTCAGGTTCTAAGGCCCGAGCTGGGAGGCCGGGTGGCCGGCTTTCTTCGCGTCAGGCCCAATAACAAGGTTTACTCCTGCCTGGGTGCACCACNGCCGGCTTTCTTCGCGTCAGGCCCAATAACAAGGTTTACTCCTGCCTGGGCGCACCACTCTGCTGCACCCTTGACCTTTCCCTGGCCCTCCGCTCTCCTCTGCAGTCAGCCAGTCTGCTTTAGGATTTCCCACAGTGTCTGGCTCAGCAACAATTGCAGTTGTAGCCGTGAACAAAGCAGAGCTGAATAGGCTTATACCGAGGAGAAAGAAAGACTGTCCCGGTCTGAGCTACCTGCCTTTCCTTAGCACCAAACAAAACAAAAACAAGCTCTTGGGTCTTAGTGAATATGCATCAATTCTTTACCTCCCAGTTCACACTAAACTGATTGCTAATCTTTAGCATTGGGGCAAATGTGTCCAATTGTTGTGTATTGAGCTTTAATTATATTAAAGAAATGTGTAATGGGTTTATCTTGACAACAAAATGGAGCACTTAATGGCAATTTTAAGAATATTTTTATGCAACTAAGCTTCTTATTTGAAATAAATTCATGGCCTCGAAAGAAAATCTTTCATAAAGGTTATAGAAATGGGAAAATATGCTATTTTCTTTCCTTTCAGTTCTCCAGCTGGTCACCTGCTTCCCTTTCCCACTCATACTTATTGAAGAAGACGCCTTGCCTACTGGCATGCTAGCTTACCTCCCCTGGCAAGAGCTTAGGACCCACCCGGAGAGAACAAAGGCATCTGAAAGTCACAGGTATGTTTGTCATCAAATCATATTTGTTGAGCATCCAGAAGGGGGAAAGCTCTGAGTCAAGGCAGGTAGAAGTTAAGTGAATGGAAAACCTGCAGAGACACTCAGTGGAGGCAAATTAATCTGCTGGCCAAGAAAACAAGTGAATACTTTCTTCTTCTCCAAGTTTTCTTTAATTTTTCAAAAAGAAACAGTACAAATATGATGTTAGCAGAAAGAGATTTTCCTCACATTATATGTGAGAATCTGTTTCAATTAGCTTATCTGGAGAATTTGAAAACTCTGACGTTTGAAAGTAGGAATGATAGACTAGCTACTATTCTTTTCCAGTGCACCAAGATTAAATAATTTTTCTTGGAATGAATCAGAACAAGACAGTATGAGAGAGTCATACTGACATTACTGATTAACGTTTGTCAGATATTCCTTTAAATTAGGGAGACTGATATTTCATGAAAACAAATAAGCTCTGATTGTCCTATAGAAAACACCAGCAATAAGTCTTGAACTTATTTGTGTTAACTTAAGAAAAAAAACATAGACTTGTCTTCTTTCAGTAATTGAGAGGAACTGCACTCTGCTAGATGCATCGGTCCTCCCCAGTTTAATAGATGTTGTACCAGCAATAACTGAGCAGAAAACCGGAATCGGAAAGCAGACACCGGACAACAGTATTCATTGCTCACGAGGCATCTACCTGGTCACTACTTCAGGTAAAGCACCACGTGAGGGATCCCCATTAAAAGTGCAAAATTAGCCCTAGCTCACTAGTTAGAGTTTCAGCCTGCGAACTCAAGGGTCCTGGGTTTGATTCCAGCCAAGGGCACGTATCTCGGTTACAGGCAACCAACTGATGTGTCTCTCTCACATCGATGTTTCTCTCTCTTTCCCTTCCACTGTCTCTAAAAAGCAATGGAAAAGATATCCTCTGGTGAGGACTTAAAAAAAAAAAAAGTACAAAATTACCCTTTGTCTTCAAAAGAATTATTTTCCCCGTAAGGAAAATAATTCCCCTTGAGTTCTGTTTTCTTCATAAAGTACATGTAGCTGTGGGAAACAGGGTAACTTGTTTCCGTGTGGGAACCGGCCAGCTTTCTGGAATGCCGTGCTGAGGTGAGAGCGAGAAGCCCCCTGGTGACTCAGGAGGCAGAGGCGGCCGGAGGCCCTGGGAGTGGCTGCCCCAGAGCACATTTGCCTTTTCAAGTCCCATGTCATTGTGGATACTCGCCCCCTGCCACACACACAACAAAGAAAAAGTAGTTTGTTCTTTGTTGCAGTGCAGATGCCTAGGGGATTTTAATGCTCCTTGAGAAAAATTAACAACTGGGAGACATGTTTAATAAATGCAAATAACAATTTAAAATATAGCTCAGTTCTGTGTATTTGCTAAATAAGGGAGAGGGTGGACGGCGGGGGGGAATGAAAGTGGACAATGAGAGGGAGCGGGGAGAGAGAGCTCGAAGGAGAAGAGAGGGGGCTAAATGGAAGGAGAAGAGGCAAAGGCACGTCTTAGCTCCTTCCACTGGCTGGGTGGCTAGGACGACGGACGCTGACTTCTTAGTTCTGGAGTTTGGAAGCCCAAGATCAAGGCTCTGGCAGGTTCACTGTCTCCAGTCATTCCCTGGCTCATAAAAGGCCAGCTTCTCTCTATGTCCTCATGGTGGGAAGGTCAAGGGAGTTCGCTGGGGTCTCTTTTTCAGGGCACTAATCCCATTCATGAGGGCCCCACCCTCAGGACATTATCACCGCCCAAAGGCCCCACCTTCTAATGCCATCGCTTCAGGGATTACGTTTCCACGTAGGAATTTGAGGGGCACGCAGTCTAGAGCAAGGCACAGAGGCAACGGGGAGGAGAGGAGAGACTAAATGTGGAGATGCCGGCAGGAGCGAGGGGGGGGTCAGGGAGAAGGGGGAAGCGTAAGACAAGACAGAGAGAGAGGTTCGTGGAAACTGTACTCTGAAGTCCCCACTGTCTTTGGAGCGGGTGATGACATGTCGTTGACCATGACGGCACTGACTGCATGCTGAGTCATTCGACTTGCAAGATGTCTGAGGGGCCCATTCTTCGCCACGTGGGGTTCTGGGCGCTGGGACACACTGTGGCTCACATCCTGTGAGGTGAGAGACTTGCAGACAGTGCTTTTGCCCAAGGAGACACGATCCGTGTTCACTATAAAATTCTGGAGCTTATATTTTAAATAAGGATTATTTTACCACAGATTTCTTGTCTTTGCATTTTTAAGAATGATTAAGGATTCAAAGTGGTAGTTTGGGACATTAGAGAAGTCTCATTTTCGGTAAAGATTAAAAGGCTGCTTGGATATTTGAAAGCCAGATGGGTTTGTGATTTGATAAGGGGTTTGCAGGGGGACAAATCATTTTATGGACCTAAAGGTTACATTTTGAAAAGGCACCCATTTTATTGTCTTACCCCCCCTCTTTTTTTCCCTCTAAAATGAAATCTGCATGTCTTCCTAGTCCAGCTGAGTCTTAGAAAGCAGAGTTCTTGGCCCTATTTTGCAGGGAATTAAGAGAACCTTTGGGTTGCCCGGCCGGGCATGGCTCAGCGGTTGAGCGTCGACCTAGGATCTAGGCGATTGGGGTTCGATTCCCAGTCAGGGCACAAGCCCAGGTTGTGGGNTTGAGCGTCGACCTAGGATCTAGGCGATTGGGGTTCGATTCCCGGTCAGGGCACAAGCCCAGGTTGTGGGCTTGATCAGTGACTCTCTCATCATTGATGTTTCTTTCTCTCTCTCCCTCTCCTTTCCTCTCTCTGAAATCAATAAAGATATATTTAAAAAAAGAAAAAAAAAAGAGAATCTTTGTGTTAAATGAAGGAGTGAAACTCAGTTNTCTCTCTCTCCCTCTCCTTTCCTCTCTCTGAAATCAATAAAGATATATTAAAAAAAAGAAAAAAAAAAGGAATCTTTGGGTTAAATGAAGGAGTGAAACTCAGTTCTTTCACAACTGCTCTTATCAAAATGTCAAGCTTCTTTTCTGTTCCAGAGGAGCTGGCCACGGGCTGCCACCCCATATTTGTGACAGATGAGATGCAAGTGAGTTCAGCGAGATAAGGAGTCGATGAAGGCAGATCGTTTCTTTAGTTCAAACTGTGTGTGCCTTATTGTCCGGCGTCTGGGTGTGTGACCCTTGGGCTGGTGTAGGACCTGGTTGATGGTGGGAGTGGAAAGTGGGATTGCATCTTCCCAGAGGTGCCCTAAGTGGAGCATGGGGCAGAACCTGGGCAGTGAGTGTGATTTCCAAAGGAAACCCCCTGTGATTTCCTGTCCCTAGGTTTGAGAAATTATTTCAGTAAGTAACACTGTTTGGTAAAATAATTCGGGAACAGATACTCATTTTCCATGGGAAGCAAGATTGTTTTGAACTCTTAGACGTGTCCAATTTTCATCAGTAAAATTCTGGAACTAGATAGAAGTGAGGATTGCACAACATTGTGAATGTACTTAATGCCACCAAATTGTACACTTAAGAAGGGTCAAAATGGTCAAGTTTATGTTATCTGTATTTTACCACAGAAAAGTTTTAGTTGGTCGATCTTAGTATGAAACACGTTGCAGCAATAATTAGGTATGGGAGGTGGGCAAAGAGGAGGAAATGGGGGGCATCTGAATAGTGTCAACAATAAAAAATAATAATTAGGTATCAATATAATAATACTTTGGTTTTAAATCCATGGGAGAAATAAAGTGAAATTTCACCAAATTTGAAACAATTTGTTATTAGGCCTTTATTTTAGTATGATTTGATAATACAGAAAATTCTGAGTTTTTCTGATGCAAGAATATTAAAATTGGGAGGAAAACAAAGGGACAAAAATTACCAAGAAAAATCCAGAGCTCACCATTATATCAGGAACTAAGAAGCAAGGGCTCCTAGGAGATAAATCGCACCATTTTGGCTTATAATCACTTTGTTTGGGAAACACTCCATTCAGAGGGAATGATATCTGGTAGGAAAAACATCCTTTTAATCTTATCAGAACCAGCTCTGCACCTGGAGTTTGGAGCCCGCTTCCTCTCCCTTCATTAGAGGCTCAGTTTCAAAGCCTGAGAGGACTGTTTGAGGAGAAGCAGAGTTACACACAATCATTCCTCTCCCTTTGCAAGCTGAGCTGTGTGAGTCTGGAGAGGCAGCTGCCAGATCCCCAGGCAAAACGAGGGCTTCTAGAAAGTGCAGAAACAAACTCTTATGGTAAAATAATTCACCGATAAAATTAACATCTTATACTGATACCCTACCATCTGAAGCATAAAATTAATTTTTCTTTTCTTTACTTTTAAGCTTTATAAACACAGAGACCATGCATGTACTCAGTAGTCTTTTCCTGTAAAGAAGAAGTTGAGTTTATTATATAATAAGCAAAGCCTCAGTAAATGTTTCCAAATTTGATTGGGGTGGGGGTGCACAGGGAATCCCAAAGTTAATTCAGTGATACTACATGTACCAGGATCTTAACCTCTTACAAGTTCCTTAGGCCATGCAACGTCAACTATTTTTTAATTTTAATCCTCACTTGAGGATATTTTTTCCATTGCTTTTCAGAGAGAGAGAAAGAGAGAAACATCAATGTGAGAGAGACACATCAATTGGTTGCCTCCCGCACGTGCCCCAGCCGGGGCCCGAGGTTGAGCCTGCAACCGAGGTATGTGCCCTTGGCTGGAATCAAACCCAGGACCTTCAGGCCGCAGACCAATGCTCTAACCACTGAGCCAAACTGGCTAGGGCTCAACTCTTTCTAATGTTTAACCTAAGACGGCTTTGCTAGTAAAGAAATACTTTCTTTATTATAATGTCTCCTTTCTTCATTATTTTTTTAACCCTCACTCGGTTACCTTTATCTGCCGTGTCTGGTTTCTGTTTCTCAAGGCCGTGTTTGTGACGTTCTTCCGCGTGTAGCTGCGGCTGGTTCATCGTCACAGCGGCATAGTGCTCCACGCGTGAGTGTGTACTGTCATTTATTTACCCGCTCTATTGTTGATGGGCATTTGAGTAGTTTCCAACTTGGGGCTACTACAAATAGTGCTGCTATTAACATTTTGATACTTTCTTTTGATGGACATATGTGTACAATCCCATTGGGTACATGCCTTGCAGTGCAATTGCTGGGTCACAGGGTACATGGTATGTTCCGTTTTAATATCCCAGCCCAGTGGTGTTCCAGAGTTGTCACACTCTCACCGCACAGCAAAGGATCCGTATCCTTCTTAACCCTGCCTCTTCTTGCCCTTCTCGCTTTGGTCATTCTAGTAGGTGTGTGGTGATATCCTTTCGTAGTTTTAATTCACATTTCCCTGGTACCTCTTGAGCGTCTTTTTATATGTTTCTCTGCCATTGGAGTGTTCTTGTAAGTGCCTGCGTAAGCCTTTGGCTCTTTTGTCCATTGTGTCGTCTGCCTTTTTCCTTGATGGTCTGTAGGTGTTCTTTGTATATTCTGGATACAAGTCCTTTCCTGAGAGATATTTTGCAGAACTTTCTCTCACTCTATGAGTTCCTCTTCCAATCTGTTTATGGTGTCTTGATGTACAGGTTTTTAATCTAATGTGGTTCCAAGTTATTTTTTTATGATTGTCATTTTGTGGGTCTTGTTTTGAAATCTGTGCCTACTAGGGTCATGAGTATGTTTTCCTGTATTTTTCTTCTGAATGATTTATTGTTTTACCATTTGCAATGAGGTCTGCTCTCCATCTGTAAT